AGGTAAGTATTAGAGAGGCTGGGGGGAGAGGTGCATACAGAAACTCTTTGGGCTACCAAATATTAAATCGAGGGTGCCAACAATTTTGTCCAGTCCATTTTTGAGGTTTGGCATGGAATGTGTCAGATTTTGGCTTTTTGTTACTCCACTTTTTTTGTGTCAAACCAATATAAAAAAAAAGAAATAAACATGAGAATGCCGAAACATTTGTAATTGCAACAATTTTCTGGATGAAGTGGTGTATTATCCGACAGAAATGGAGGGGTGCCAATATTTTTGGCCATGACTGTACGTGTTTTGCCTTAATATCTACCTTAAATATCATTGCTTATTGCACATGGTACTTGTTTGTAGCCTAAATACTGAAATTTGCACTTCAAAATGTGATTTTTTTTTGTAATTTTTCGAATTTGTCTGTGCCGGTAAAATTTGGGTGTCCTGTCTGTGAATTTCAATCTGGTAGGTTGGCAGAACTGCGCAACAGTTCTTTTCCCAACTGACTCAAATCCTTTAACATACACACAAGAGCTTCAACCACACAAAGTTTTTTTTCCTAGGGGATGTGAGAACCTCATCTCTGGTTTACGTTCATCAGCTTGTTGTCAGATCTTCTGTATATCCCCATAGTGGCAATGCACTTCAGTGAACCGTTTCTGACTCTCCTTTAGATTCCTACAGTTGAGTTATTTCCTTTCCAGCTCTGCGAAACAGTCATTGGAATTTTCCTGATCCAGTAACACTGGAGAGGATGAGTGTAGCTTCAGGACATTTCAGATTCCAGTAAAGGTCTAAGTCAAGGACTATTCCTGAATTATTACAAGTCTTGCCTCCCAGAGGGAGCTCCTGACCTTCCTGTTACCTGGAGATGGAAGGTTCCCCTTCGTTGTATGAGGCCAGGCTTTTCATTTTATGGGGATAGCAGAGAAGAGTGATAAATATTGGATTTATTGCCCATGTTCTTGTATCTAGGGTCTTACTCTCTGAGGCTTACAAGTGTATATTGCTAGCAGGACTTTATTTTTCTTAGTGGACCCTTTATTTTTTTAGTGAACCAATGTTCTAAAACACATTTAAAAAAAAAAGACCTACATGCCGCCCAGCCACTGTACATATACGGCGGCAGGGCGGCACTCGCAGGCAAAACCACGTTTTAAAACACGTGTTTTGTAAATAAATAGGGGGCGCGCGCGAGGCGTGCCGCCGCCCTATTTGTCCCGCGGATCACCGCCGCAGATATCAGTCACCGGGTCACAGCCGCTCCTTAGCGGCTATGTCCCGGCGATCGGCGGCAAACAGTGACAGACAGCACAGCTGCATTAGCTGTGCTGTCTGTCACTTCCCTGTCAGCTCGAGGATGAGCTGATCGAGAAAGAACAGTTTCTCTTTCTCGATCAGCCTTGTCCCGCCCAGTACACACCCCCGCCCCCTAGTAAAACACTCCCCTCACTCCTATAACCCTTCCCTGCAAAATAAAGTTAACCCCTTCCTCCCCAGTGCCATTAGTACAGTGTCAGTTTTTTTTTTTTTGCACTGATCACTGTATTAGTGTTTTTGGGGATGTCAGTGACCCCAAGTCAGTACCCCCCAATGTCAGAATGTCCGCCGCAGTCCCGCCATAAGTCCCTGATCACCGCCATAAGTCCCTGATCGCCGCCATTATTAGTATAAAAAAAACCTAAAAATTCCAGTATCTTTCCCGCCATTTGTAAACGCTATAACTTTCACGTAAACCAATTAATTTACACGTATTGTTTTTTTTTTTTAGCAAAGACATGTCGCAGAATGCATTGTGGCAGAAATTTATGACTAAATTTGATTTTTGCATTTTTTTTTACTGGACATGTTTTATAGCAAAAAGTCCAAAATATTGTTTTTTTTTCCTCAAAATTGTCAGCCTTTTTTTTTATAGCACAAAAAATAAAACCGCACAGGCGATCAAATACCACCAAAAGAAAGCTCAATTTGTGGGGAAAAAAAGGATGTAAATTTCATTTATGTACCGTATTGCATGACCGCGCAATTGTCCGTTAAACTAGCGCAGCGCTGTATAGCAGAAAAATGGCGTAAATTGCAGTATCTATACCATAGTCTGTAGACACTATAACTTCCACACAAAGCAATCAATATACACTTATTGGGATTTTTGTTACCAAAAACATGTAGCAGAATACATTTTGGCCTAAATTTATAACCAACTTTGAGTTTACTATATATTTTTTATAGCTGAAAATAAAAAATATTGTTTTTCTTCAAAATTTTTGGCCTTTTTTTGTTTATAGCGTGAAAAATAAAAAGCGCACAGGAGATCAAATACCACCGAAAGAAAGCTCTATTTGTGTGAAAAAAAGGACGTAAATTACGTTTGGGTGCAGCATTGCATGACCGCGCAATTATCAGTTGAATTAGTGCAGCGCCGAGTAGCAAAAAGAGGCGTGGTCATTAAGGGGGGTAAATCCTCTGGAGCTCAAGTGGTTAAAGGATAAGTTCACCTTTGGAACATGTTACATGTTCCACCCATTATTAGGGTCAGACGTGCCCATCAACCCACCCCCCCTGCTGTGCTGTGAAACAATAGCACTTAGGGTTGGGACTGTAATGTACCTCCCGAGGTATAAAACAAGAACAGATATCAGTACATAAAAGCAATATTTTATTATTTTGAATTGTAAGCTCCACAAACAAGGCCCTCATATTCCTTCTGTACTGAAATGTATTGTAATTGTACTTATATTGTAAAGTGCTGCGCAAACTGTTGGAGCTATATAAATCCTGTATAATAATTATTCACATATATTAACCACTTCCCATCCGGCTGCTGTATATAAACGGCCAGACTGTGGCAGTGCAAGGGAGGGTTGCCGTTCATAAACGATGCCCGCCATTTTGGATTGTGCGCTCTCCCTGGGAGCGCACGGCACTGCGATCAGGTGCCCACTGTGTCCTCCGAATCACTGTACGGGACCTCTGTGTGAGGTCCTGATCATGTGATCACTGATTGGCCAATCAGTGATCACATAAATAGGTGTAAGCAAGATGTCACTTCTGACATCATTGCTTACTATGTGTGAAATCTGTGAATGATCACAGAGATCACATGGTACAGGGCTATTCACAACAGCCTTGTACCATGTGACAAGCTGTGACCAATCACAGCTCTCACAGTATTTCTCAATGGCTGCAAGAATGCAGTCAGAGAGAAGGAGAAATGATTGCTTTTACAGCCTTTATGGGTGTAAAAGCAATCAGTGTAAAAAGAAAAAAAAATCTTCATCATCCCCTACAAGTAGTACAGTGTCACTATGGTGCCACTGTACTGCTTGGATGACAGTATGTTAAAATAAACATAAATAATAATATAAAAAAAAAAATGTAAAAACATTTTACACAGTATTTCTCAATGGCTGCAAGAATGCAGCCAGAGGGAAGGAGAAATGATTGCTTTTACGGCCTTTATGGGTATAAAAGCAATCAGTGTAAAAAGAAAAAAAAAATGTTCATCATCCCCCACAAGTAGTACAGTGTCACTATGGTGCCACTGTACTGCTTGGATGACAGTATGTTAAAATAAACATAAATAATAATATAAAAAAAAAAAATGTAAAAAAAAATGTTTTTAAAAAATGATAATTTTTGGTTATAAACTAATTTGGGTTATTTGTTTTTACTCAAAAGATAACTGAAAAGATATTGGCCAAGATTTATGAAGAAAGATTATTTATTTGCAAAATTCTGTAAGAAAAATTTTTTATTTCCAAAATTTTTGGACTTTTTCATTTATATAGCAAAAAATATAAAAATCCCAGTGGTGAATAAATACCACCAAAATAAAGTTTTATCTGTCTCCAAAAAATGATAAAAAATGCATATGGGTACAGTGTTGCATGACCGCGCAATTGTCATTCAAAGTGCGACAGCACTGAAAGCTGAAAATTGGCCTGGACAGGAAGGGAGTAAAAGTGTCTGGACATGAAGTGGTTAATAATCACAAATACACATAAAAAAACCTAAAAAATTAATAATGTCGCTTGGAATATAACTGTTCAAAAGATCCTAGTCTTAAATGGCCGACTCGCTTTGCGGAAAAAACGCTCCTCATGGCCTTCGATCTCGTTTGTACAAAAACTTGTGTTCACATGTGCGCCAATGTGTGTCCAATGACACCCCCCTCCCTCTGACAGATAGTACGGGGAGAAGTTTACCTGTGCTACCTGTCAGATGTGAAAACAGCGCGACCGTACGGGGCTCCGCCCACACGGCCACATCGCTCATTCACAGTGTTCTATGAATAAGTGCCTACAAGTCCCAACAGCCTTAGCGGGTGTGGGCTGGTAGTTTTAAATGAACTACCACCCTGCTGTGGAGCTCCGTGGTAGTTTATTGAAGCGTCCTGTCAGTATATCTGATTGCTCGTACATCCCGTACGGCAAGCAGATATTCTGACAGGTCTGCAGGAGACCTGCGTGGCACCAGCGATCTACTGATTACTGGTGCAATGCTTTACAGGCTCCTTTGTACAAAATATAAAAAATGCACATTTTTTTTACCTGCAAAAAAATGTGCATTTATTATTTTTGTTCAAAAGGTGAACTTATCCTTTAATTTAAACATTCAGTTGCATCATAACTGCAGAATAGTGTTCCTTTATCATGAAACATTGCCATTTTGCCAGCGCCCAGTCAGTTGTGACCAATTCCATAGCCTTAAGCTGGACATACACTTTTAGATACGAAAATTTATACAAAGTATCTAGTACATTCGATAATTTGATGAATGTCGTTCGAGAGTGCTTAAAAATTTTGTTTGCTTTTAACATTTGATTTTGGAAAAAATGGGCTTTATCATCTGAAACACTGTAAGGAATTCCTTCATCTGAGAAAATAAAAATTTCCATCCTGAATTTTCTCATCACTGTGGTCGACAATGAATGCTGATTTGACCCTACCTGTGACTACACAATTAGAAAATTGAATGAATGCTCTTAAAGTAGTTCACCCAAAACCGAACTAACTCTAAACCTAATCACAGCCACATTCTAATTCAGGGGCGGACTGACAACTCATGGGGCCCCGGGGCAATAGGGGATCATGGGGCCCCTGTGTCCTTCCCCAAACTCAAAAAAGCCTATGAAAAAGGTACCAGGGGCATCTCACGGGGCCCCCTACTGACTCTGGGCCCTCGGGCAATTGCCCGAGTTTCCAAATGGTCCTGTATATTACCATATTTGTTCGGTTGATACCGTAGCTATAGATTTATAATGTGTGTACTGCCAATTCTAATTTTATTTTTTGTAGCACTGTCTGCTTTTTTCATTGAAAAACATTTACAATAATGAGGCTAATAAGGGACCTTTTTTGGAACAATAACAGGTCCAGGATGGTTGAAGCTTCTTTAACCCTCAGAAATCATTTAAAGTCTATTGTACCATATAAAAACCACTGTTCCTTCCCCATTGTCACTAATTAGATTCAAAACAATTTTGGCAAAATCTCCCAAATTTCCCTGAGATTTCAGGGAAATGAAAACACTCAGTTTTGCTTATCCCTGGTGATGAATACAGCAGGCATCCTGATAGCTATGGATCTATGTTTGAATGGCACCTCAACGCATGCTGCCAGTGGACATGTGTTGCAGTGCACTGCACTGCCAATAAATTGTGTATACCTTACCAGGGGTGGACTGACAACTGATGGGGCTCCCGGGCAATAGGGGATCATGGGGCCCCTGTGTCCTTGCCCAAACTCAAAAAAGCCTATGAAAAAGATACCAGGGCCATCTCATGGGGCCCCCTACTGACCCCGGGTCATCGGGCAGTGCCTGAGTTTCCAAATGGTCAGTCCGCCCCTGTACCTTACCACTACAATATGGTATGAAAAAGCCCATAAAGTAGAATTATAGGAGGAAAAAGCATTTTTGCCTTTAGCAGCACATTACAATAAATTACTGTCAATTCCTTTATACTTATGTTGCCCCAAAGACTGTGTGAAGCGGTGTGCATTGCTTATGGTCTGGAGGTCTACAGCATCTCCTCCAAATATTTCTGTGACTGTCTCCTTTGCTCACGCATGACTGTTTGCATTTTCTGCTGGTTTGGCAGTGCCAGTGCATGTCAGTGCACATGACAGTGGCTTCAGGGAGCCCCGGAAAGGCAACGGAGCCACCTTCGAGATGGAAAATAGTGGGATGTGTACCATTTGATAGATGATGGTCCTACACAGAGATGCCAGAAAGAAAAAAAGGGAACAGCAACAAGCCAAGTCTCTAAATATTTTTTAAAAGGCAGGATTAATATAACTTTCGTGTGCGGCACAGTGGCTTAGTGGTTAGCACTTCTGCCTTGCAGTAATTGGGTCATGGGTTCGATTCCTGGCCATAGTGCCTCCTGCATGGAGTTTGCATGTTCTCCCTGTGCCTGTGTTGGTTTCCTCCTACACTCCAAAGACATGCTGGTAGGTTAATTGGCTCCTGTCTAAATTGTCCTAGTTTCATCCCTGGCCATGTGGGATCTCCTGCATGGTAGGGGTTGGGGAAAGACCTGGCAACCTACCCTGTAAAATAATTGCTAAGAGAATTCATGGAAAAAGTCGCTTACGAGTGACGGTCCATGCAATCGCCAAGGGTCGGATACGACTGAATGGATAGATAGAATATAACTTTCATCCCTGGTTTACACAGATGCATTGTGGAATTCGCACCAGTTTCTGTGCGATTTCCACGCCACATCATAATCGCACCCTGTTCATGCAGACTGTTGCGGGTGTGAATTTTCGGTTAACAACACCCCAAAAATCGGTTCGCAAAATGGGATGCGATGTACAGAGTCGGATCACATGGGTACGATTTTGGTGCGGACAAAAAAAAAAAGAGTCCTGCACTATTTTGGTGCGGATGCGCTGCGATTTGAGCCATATAAAATGTATGGCTCAAACTGGACCGCACAGAAATCGCATGTGATTTGCACGGGAATACGGTGTAAAGGGAGGACTCCGATGTGAACAGGAGGCTGTGATGTAAAAGGGAGGGGGACTGAGGACACTGATGTATAGGGGAAATTGTGATGTAAAGGGAGTTGGGGTGAGGACGCTTATATAAAGGGGGGTTTTGATATAATAGGGAGACTCTGAAGTGAATGGGAGTCTGTGATGTAAAGTGGGGGGGCTGTAATGTAAAAGAGGGATGTGTGATGTAAAGGGGCGGGAAATGTGAATTTGGGTCTGTGATGTAAAGGGGGGTTGTGATGTAAAGAGGCAGCCGTGATGTCAAGGGGGGACTGAGTACAGTACTGTAAAAGGGGGACTCTGATGTGAATGGGAGTCTGTGATGTAAAAGGGGGGGGGGGGGGGGGGGGACTGAGGATACTGATGTAAAGGGGAAACTGTGATGTAAAGGGGGGTTGTGATGTATAGAGTGGGCCGTCATGTCAAGGGGGGACTGAGGACAGTACTGTAAAGGGGGGGACTCTGATGGAAAGGAAGGCTGTGATGTAAAAGGGGGGTGGTTTGATGTGGGGGGGGGGGCTGTGATGTATAGGGGGGCAATATGAATTGGGGTCTGTTATGTAAAAGGGGAGGACAGAGGATACTGATTTAAAGGGGAAACTGTAATGTAAAGGGAGGTTGTGATGTAAAGGGGGGGGGGATGAGGACGCTTATATAAAGGGGGGCTGTGATGTAAAAGGGGGAGACTGTGATGTGAAGGGGAAGCAATATGAGTTGGGGTCTGTGATGTAAAGGGGGGTTGTGATATATAGGTGGGCACTGTAGACACTGATGTAAACAGGGGACTGTGATGTAAAGAGGGGACTGAGGACACTACTGTAAAGGGGGGACTCTGATCTGAATGGGACTCTGAAAGGTAAAAAGGGGGGACTGAGGATACTGCAGTAAAGCATCATTGGGGACACTGGCTGTTGACAGCATGTTAAAAAAAAAACAAAAAAACTAATTTTAGGAATTTTATTCAGATTTTTTTTACCTTTTTAATTTTTTTAACAATTTGTTTTCTTTATATTACATACTGTGACCATAGCAGTGCAGTGTTACCATAGTGACACCGTACTATTCTGGGGAGGTGTTCAGGATTGTTTAATTTTTTTTCCAGCTATGATTGCTTATAACAGTGATGATCACTGTTATAAGCAATAATTTTTATGAATCCATTCATTGAGTACTATTGTGAGAGCTGTGATTGGCTACAGCTATCACATGGTACAGATAAGGCTGTGACTGGCCTTGTCTGTTCCATGTTATAATTGTGGCCATTCATTGTGTACTATGTGATTGGCCACAGCTATCACAGGGGCAGGGGTGGACTGACAACTCTGGGGCCCCCAAGCAATAGGGGATCATGGGGCCCCTGTGTCCTTGCCCAAACTCAAAAAAGCCTATGAAAAAGGAACCAGTGGCATCTCATGGGGCCCCCTACTGACCCCGGGCCCTCGGGCAGTGCCGAGTTTTCAAATGGTCAGTCCGCCCCTGATCACATGGTACAGATAAGCTAGTGACTGGTCTTGTCTGTTCCATGTTATAATTGTGGCCAAACACACAATACACAATGAATGGCTTTGAATTAAAGGTGATCTCTGTGATTGGTCACAGCAGTCACATGGTACTGGGACCAACCTGGTACACCGATATGTCATATTTGTTTCATGGACACAGTGGGTAGAGGTCTTTGCCACAGTGTGGCCACTAGGGCATGGGCGATGCGTTTGACTGGGAGCATGTCATATGACATCCACCCAGAACTGGAAAGCTCCTGTTAGGTTGTCTTTTGACTATAGGCAGGAAGCAGTTAAATATCAGCCAGGACACTATGTACATGGAGTTTACATGTTCTCCTTGTACTTGCATGGGTTTCCTCCAGGTACTCTGATTTCCTCCCACACTCCAATTACATGGCTCCCGTCTAAACAAATATGTGTGAATCGGTCCTAGTGTGTATGCATGTAAAGTAAGGTCCCTAGATTGTAAATTGTAAGCTTTTTGAGGGCAGGAACTGGTGTGAGTGTACAGTATGTAAATGACTGCATACATTGTTGTTGCTATATAAATGCCTATAATAAATGAGAAATAAAGTGATTGCGACATTCTGGGAAAATAATAATAATTATTATTATACAGGATTTATTATTATACAGGATTTATATATTATTAATATTATTATTATACAGGATTTATTATTATACAGGATTTATATATTATTATTATTATACAGGATTTATTATTATTATTATACAGGATTTATTATTATTATTATTATACAGGATTTATTATTATTATTATTATACAGGATTTATATATTATTTATTATTATTATTAATATTATTATACAGGATTTATATATTATTATTATTATTATTATTATACAGGATTTATATATTATTATTATTATACAGGATTTATTATTATTATTATTATTATTATTATTATTATATAGGATTTATAAATTATTATTATTATACAGGATTTATTATTATTATTATTATTATTATTATACAGGATTTATATATTATTATTATTATTATACAGGATTTATGGCGCCAACAGTTTGCTCAGCGCTTTACAATATAAAGGGAGACAATACAGAACAATACAGTTCAATACAAGAGGGTTAGGAGGGAGGTCCTGATCCTGGGAGCTTACAATCTAAGAGATGTGACAACATTCAACAAGTACAGTTACAACAAAATATTTTTCAGAGATGATCTTACAAAACGGAAGACTATCTCTTCATAAGAAGGGCCGATAGCAACTTTACAGAGATGTGGCCCCCCCATATCTCTGCTGGGTCATGGATCGCAGGTACACTGTAGAGTATATTGCATAGGACAGTTGCTTTCCTACCACTAGACTCAGTGGGGAAAATCAATAACACAGTGTTGAGGCAAGAGCGCCACCTTCTGTCCAGATGTCAGAATTTGGAATTTCTGCGTATTTCAGCTGTACAGACAGCAGTTTACTTATTATTATTATTATACAGGATTTATATAGCTCCAACAGTTTGCTCAGAGCTTTACAATATAAAGGGAGACAATACAGCAACAATACAGTTCAATACAAGAGGAATAGGAGGGTCTGATCCTTGGAGCTTACAATCTAGGAGGGAGGGGCTGGTGGTACAAAAGGTAGTAACTATGGGGGATGGACTGGTTGGAAGAGTAGAAGATTCCATTATTAGCTGAGGGCAGGATAGGCTTCCCTGTAGAGATAGGTTATAGACATCGCCTAAAAGTGGGCAGAGTAGGTGATAGTCTGATAAATTGGGGTAGAGAGTTCCAGAGGATGGGGGAGGCTCTGGAGAAGTCCTGGAGACGAGGATGGGAGGAGGAGACAAGGGAGCTAGAGAGTAGGAGGTCTTGCGAGGAGCGGAGAGTACGGTTTGGGTGATATTTGGAGACAAGGTTGGTGATGTAATTTGGGGCAGAGTTATAAATGGCTTTATACGTCATTGTTAGTGGTTTGAATTTTATCCGTTGGGCAATACTTATGCAAATGGATGTAGATTAAATGCAGTTAGGTTTAACACTGCCCGTTTTTTATTTAATTTCCATAATTGCAACAAAGGTATACATTTCCTTACAAACATATATTATTCAGGGAAGTCTATACTGCCTTCTAACCAAATCTTCTATTTCTGCTCTCAGCCCATCCCCCACAGTTATTACCTTTTCTACCCCCAGCCCCTCCCTCTTAGATTGTAAGCTCCAAGGAGCAGGGCCTTCTTAGTTGTATTGAACTGTATCATTGCTGTATTGGCTCCCTTTATATTATAAAGAGCCGAGCAAACTGTTTGTGATATATAAATCCTGTATTATATTTTTATTGTTATTTCTCTATTTCAGGTACTTATATAGCGCCATCAATATACGCAGCACTTTACACATATATTGTACATTCCCATCAGTCCCTAACCCTCAAGGGGCGTACAATCTAAGGTCCCTAACTTACATTCATACTAACACATATTAGGGCCAATTTAGTAAGGAGACAATTAACCGCCCAGCATGTCTTTGGAATGTGAGAGGAAACCAGCGTACCCAGAGGAAACCCACACAAGCACAGGGAGAACATGCAAACCTATGAATTCCTTTATACTGCTGAACTATGGGTAGAAGACATCATAAGCCATTGGTGGCTACCTTTCTAGGTAAAGGGGACCTCATGTTTAGCCCCTGAAGTCACCAAATGGCCATGCGTAATATTATGTATAGAGCATGTACTGTAGAGGAAATTGTCAGAGGCTGCACTGCAGACATACAGAAAGAAGTGGGCAGAGACTGCAGGCATGTGAATGCATGCTACAGGTGTGGTTGGAAATTGGGTACATGAGACATACAGACACTGCGGATCTGTTACAACTGACTGCTAGAGATCATTGCCATGAATATGCTTGTTACAAAAATGCTCTCTGTGCTGCCTAGAGCCTCCTACAAATTACTGCCACCATAGTTAATGTTCTACATGAGAAGCACAGCTCAGTGCCTTGCAGCACTGGAGTTCTCGGTTCAAAGCCAAGACTCTATTTGCATGGAGTTAGCTTGTTCTCCCAGAGCTTGTATGGGTTTCCTTCCACACTTCAAAGACATGCTGCTAAGTTAATTGGCCCTAATACTGTGTTTAACGTATATGTATGCATGTGAGATAGGTGCCTTAGATTGTAAGTCCATTCAGGGCAGGAACCAATGTGAATGAATGGTATAGTATGTAAAAGTGCTGCATAAATGAATGGTGTTATATAAGAACCTAAAAAAAAAGCAGCAAGGACTCCAAGTAAGTACCAAAGGGTTGGGCATTGGGACCATATGTAGCAGGTTGGGTATCATGGCCATATTTAGGGTATCAGGGCCATATGTATCAGATCAGGGATCAGGGTCATATGTAGCAGGTTGGGTATCAGAGCCATATTTAGCAATTTGGGCATCAGGACCAAATGGAGCAAGTTGGGTATCTGGCCCAAATGTAGCAGATTGGGTATGAAGGTTAAGAATCAGGGCCATATGAAGCAGGTTGGGTATCAGGACCAAATGTAGCAGGTTGGGCATCAGGCCCATTAGTAGCAAGTTGGACATCAGGGCCATATGTAGCAGGTTGGGTATCAGAGCCATATTTAGGGTATCAGGACTAAATGTAGCAGGTTGGGTATCAGGACCAAATGTAGCAGCTTGGGCATCAGGCCCATTAGTAGCAAGTTGGACATCAGGGCCATATGCAGCAGGCTGGGTATCAGAGCCATATTTAGGGTATCAGGACTAAATGTAGCAGGTTGGGTATCAGGACCAAATGTAACAGCTTGGGCATCAGGCCCATTAGTAGCAAGTTGGACATCAGGGCCATATGCAGCAGGCTGGGTATCAGAGCCATATTTAGGGTATTAGGACTAAATGTAGCAGGTTGGGGATCAGGGCCATATGTAGCAGGTTGAGCATCAGTCCAAATGTAGTAGGCTGAGTGTCAGGGCCAAATGTAGCTGGTTGGAAATCAGTGAAATCAGTGCCATATGTAGAAGGGTGGGCATCTGACCCATTAGTAAGTTGCATATCAGGACCATATGTAGTAGACTGACCATCAGCCCGTATTTGTATATTATAAGGATCCCTCATGGCCCTAACATGTTCCAAACAGCATTGGAGGGGCAGACCTGGAGGTAATCCAGAGTAGCACAGGGTGGCTATTCCACTGTTTTGTATGTATCTACCATACAGAACTCAACAGACCATCCCAAATGCCAATGAGCCAACTGGCACCCAATGCAAGTACCAAATCTTCAAGGAGGAATCAGAGCAAGTGGAGTCCAGGCAGCTTCTTAACACAGAAGACAGAGGTGCGTGACAAAAGGAAAAACTGAACCCAGAAAACAGATGGAATGTTTTCTACTAAAGCATTCAGAATGAGCCTAATAAAAGGCTCACAAAGACCATCAGTGTTGCCTCCCAAGCGATGGTTGATAAGTCAGTTCCCAAACCAGAGGCCCTATTGTAGTTTCTCTACCACTATCCTTAAACTGGACAGTGTTTATCAGACTGTCACGCCCGCCCCCCTGGCCCAAAGTGAATGCAACCTCAAATTCCATGGTTGGCTGAACCGGCTTATCTGTAGAGACTGCAAGGGCATATTGCTTCCTGAACCAGTCCTTTCACTTACACCTCAGAACAGCAGTAAAAATCCTCCTCCTGTTTTTCACACAGAGGACCACAGGAATGCACTCTGTCAGAAAATTAGCTTTTTAAAATGCTCTACTTGATAACAACTAATCTTACAAATTCAGAAAAAATGAATGGCATAACAGATATCTAAGTCTTTCTATAGGCTACTCTCACACACCATTTCTCTGAGATGGCTGAAATAGGCCCAATCTGGTGCCTGCTGAGGGGAAGAATGTGGCTATTTTCCGACCACCCAGTGGAGTTCTTCATGGATAGCTCTTCCCATGCACTAATCTCACCAGCAGCTCTTCCCTTATTTTAAATATCCTGGCCAAGGAGTCCAGCACAGACTGTCTGGCAAAAGGGTGG